TTCTAAAATACTAAAAACAACAGATTTATACTTTTACAAAAAAAAATAACAGTTAAAAAATTTTAATTGATTCAATTACAATTAACCAATTAATTATTTAATTAATTAGTAAATCTCAAAAACAAATCAGATATTAAACTTATATTGAAATATAAGCTGTATTGCTACATATATATATATATATATATATATACAATACACTGTTATACAATGCTATATTGTCATATACATCTTTATATACAGCGAAAAACACACACACACACACACACACACACACACACACACACACACACACACACGCATTTTAGTTGGTAACTTCACTGACAAAATGTCTCGGAGCCCCGGAAAAGGAAAATTTAAGTTTGTAAGCTTCTGCCAGAATCATGGTTACCTCCTCGTCATTCCAATGCTGTGTAGGAAGGTTTTGTAGTAACATCATCAGACTCTGTGAAGGAATGAATGAGTGAGTGAATGAATGAGTGAATGAATGAGCGAACGAAGGAATGAATGATTGAGTGAATGATTGAACGAGTGAGAAAATGAATGGGCAGTTAGATGAAAAACAATTATATGTGACTTTCATTCCCATTCTATACACTCATCACATTATGAAGCATTTCAATGTTATCGCCAACTAAACAAACACCAACATCATCGTCTTCATCATCACCACCATCATCATCATCATCATCACCGCCATCATCACAATCATGACGCACGTGGAAATCTCTCTCTCGTTGCAATTGCGTGGAGAACTTTGTCAGAAAAGCAGCACAGACGTACAAATGGAATGATGCAAAGCCATCCTGCTCTGACTGATGACGTAATAATAGTAGTAGTTCTATAAATCTATCCACCAATGCATGCATACATCCATTCATCCATGCATGCATCCATTTATCCATGCATGCATCCATTCATCTACGCATTTATCTCTAACAAGATATGTATCCCAGAGTCTGACGATGCACCTAAGAGGAAGTTCACGCATCAGCAGGTTGTTCATCCATCTGAAAGTGAACTGGATGTACTCGACGCGATGCTGCTCCAGATGGCGCTGCAGTGTGGCTAATTGGTTGCATGGTTGGTTGAGTGCTTCATTGGATGATTGATTGGATGGATGGATAGATGGCTGCTATGATACATTCTATCAACCAATTTACAGTCCTACCAATCAGCCATCTAACGAACCAATCAAACGCAAAAACCAACTGAGCCAATCAGCTGGTCATCTGCACCGACCGACCAACCAGCCAACTGCATGCACCATCGAACCAACCATCAATCCTGCTAACGAGATCCTTCAGTTGATTGATCCTTGTTTGTATCCCAGGCTGAGCAAAGGTGTAGTTATCCTGAATGCCGTCCAAAAGTTTGGACAGGCACCAGTAACAATCCGCCTCTAACTTCTGGAGATCACTTCTAGATAGTGTATCCACTTTGAATGTATCTATTGTGGAGCCTGTTATCATATCATTGTTGTTGGTTACACATTCACACACACAAACACACACACATACACACACACAAACACACGTACACAGAGCCACACACGCACTACAACCTAACTACAAACGAAACTCAAACAGCAGTCAACAATATTTTAATCTCAATAACAACAGTACAACACAACAGTACAAAGCAGCACTATGACACAAAAAGCCTCGACCTTGACTGATATATTCATTGAGAAAGACCACAAAGAATGGGGTCATGAGGTCATTCATACCCTGAACGTAGCCACTGGCCGGATGTCGGATAGCCCATATGTACAACACTCGTTCGAATATCTATGTGTTGGTGATCGTGGGATTAAAAACTTTCCATTAACTTTTCATTCACCGATTCATCCAAACATCAAATAATTCATCAATCAATTCATCCATCCATGCATGCGCATATCTATCTATTTATATATCCAACAGTCAAACAATCCAACCATCCATCCATTAATTCCTCTATCCACTCACTCATCATCCATCCATCCATTCACCTATCCATCCATTCTTCCATTCAGCTAACCTGTTGAACAGTTTCTTGTTGGAAGAGAGGAATGGATGGACACATGCGAGGTAGGTCTATCTGTATCTGCCAGTATCACATACACACGCACATCTATACCATTTCACCATATACATTAGGTTATGATACAGTTATTCAGTAGGGTTAACAAAGAACTCAGATACAGTTTTAAATTTATCTGAAAAAAAGAAGCGGGATTAACTTGTCTATGCGTTTCCTGGTGTATTTCCTGGTGCCTGGTGCTGTAGTACTGTTCCAGATAGTTGTGGTACTCTTGTCGTTTCTTATCCAAAATTATTCCCTGTCGGTCCTGGGCAGCTGGGAGGTAGCCCTGTATGGTACGAAACCATCGTTAAGATTGTTTGTATGCGTAGATGGTTGGTCGGTTGGTTGGTTTGTTGATTAGGGTGTATGTATCGCATGTAGGTATTGTTAGTATTTGAAACGATGAAAAATTCACAGCATGATTATTAACACGTGACATTACTGACATACAACAGGACTAACACACAACACGGCTAACGCATAACATGACCAACACACACACACACACATACACCAATAACATAACATAGCTTACACATAACAACTTCCAAACAATAGGTCGAAATTTCGAGGGCACCCCAGACCAACTTAACTTTTTCAACTCGTCCAAATCTAACGATGGCGTTAACATCAGTGACTGAAATTTATCTAACTTGGCTTTGTCATTGTTGAAGAAGTTATGTTGATTGGATGACGAAGATGATGTTGGTGTATTTTGTTGATTGTTGGAAGATGTTGCTGAGTTTGAAAGATGCTTGGAGGGTTTATCCTGAAAACCCTGCTGCTGCTGCTTCGTAATTACAGGTGTGGCTAAATATTGTGAAAGGAAATAAAACTGTAAACATATTTTTGAAATGAAACTTTTTTTAGTACAGGTGTGCCTGAATTTGTTGAATGAAAATAAATCTGTGTAATAAGTGAAAGCAGTTAGAATAACAGACCGTTCTTTGATGCAACTCATTATTATTAGTTAGTGATACAGACAATGGGTTAGAAATGAAGTTTTAAAAACATGATATTCATTGAATAGTAATTATTTATTGCATTAGATTGAACTAACTAACAGAATTTAAATTAAGCGGAATAAAATTTTATAACAAAAAAATGAGAAAAAAAATTTAACTAACATTCATTTGCAGCATTGTTTGTAAGTTTTGTATTATTATTACCAGTGGTTGCTACTGCATTTTTCGATAAGGATGATTTTGAACTGGAGTTCACTAATTTATTGGATGATATGTTTTGTTGATTTCTTTGGCTGGGTTGGACTTTGTTGGAGAGTGAAAGTCTCAGTAAGTCGTCCTCACCGTCGTCCCAAGCGTCAAGTGTCTTCTCTTGGTAGTCCTGAAAAGCATCTTTTGGACTTGGCCGGCCGAAGATGTCCTTCTTTATGAGGTCATTCCTAAAAATAAAATTTATTTTAAATTGAAAAGTTATTTTTTTTTAAATTAAAACTTGTAGTTGTTGGTGGAACTTCTAAGAATTGAACTATACAATGATTTCACAAACCTAACACAGACATGATGTCAGTCTTTGTCTAGTTTTTTAAATGATGTCAGTGACATTATTAAAAAAAACATTACTAACCTTGTTGATTTCATTGCACATAAAAGCAAATTTTAAATGGATCTGAAAAAAGGAACAACAATAGAGCACCACTGATAATAAAAAATGAAAATAATAATTATATTTTAGTCATTTTAAATTTAATCAAGTCTGTCCATTTTAGTAGATTAGAGATGTTTTCTTTCGTAACCTAGCGATAATACACTAAGTAAACTTGTATACAAAGATAAATAATTATATTTTTTAAAACGTGAAAGCCCGATTTAAAGTTAGTTTTATGTTTAATTTCTAACTACTTTTATTTGAATATATAAACTATTAAATTAATAAATAGTAATAAACAATATTTTTTTATTTATTTAACATTTGCTATGGTGGGTTTGTAAGTTTTTAAAAGAGCAGTACACCTGATAAAGAGTTGGGAAATTTTTTTTCATTTTACACGGTCGATAAAGAAGTTTATTTGTTTAAATTTTAAATGTAAATCTAGTTAACTATAATAATGGCTTCTATGGCAAATTTTTGTTAGTCTAATTGATTGAATTTAAATGCTTCATTTTTTAATTTTTTTTAATCCGCCATCGGCATTTTTTAAGATTTAAGAAGATTATTAAAAAAATTAAAAATGAATTAGAACAGGACTAAACTAATGAAAAAAGTGTATTTCAAGTTTATTTTATTTAGTTTTGGTTTCTTAGTTTAGTTTTTACTTTACTTTAGTTAGTTTAATCAGTTTAGTTTAGAGAGTTTAGTTTGTTTATTTAGTTTATTTTCAGTTAGGTTAGGGTTAGTTAGCGTTAGAAGAAGAGCTTAAAATTTTAATTATTAGTAGATCTAGTAAGTATATTATTATTATTATAGTTATACATATATAACCAACTTATATAATTTATAATTTACATATAATATAATTTAACAACTAATAACATAATATAATATGTAATACCAAGTGATATTACTGCTATTGATATTTTATACAAATATTAATACATAGATTATTAATTTTATGTTATCAATTTAATTATTTTTTTATCATCAAGTGTTTTATTGACTTATAATTTATATTATATATATATATATATATATATATATATATGGAATGCTATTATGCTATATATGTTTTCACAATATAAGTTATATAGATTCATCAATTTATCTTTTATATATAAATGTGACTTATCACAATAATTTCATTAAGAAGTTTCTTATTTTTTCTTGAAACTACTTTACTGTTCCATTACTGTTACTCTTGGGTTAGTTCCAAATGGGCAATTATTTAATTTAATTACTTAGCTACACTTTCTGGGAACTGAGGAAGAACAGATTAAGTTATTTATATATATGATGTTGGTTATGAGTTTGATTAGTTCTCACCAGATGAAAATTTGATTCAAAATTCAATTGTACATTAAATTTTTATTTTTACAAGTAGTCATTAATAATACGATTTTAATATAAATGTTAAATTTGTTTATACATTTTCATTTTTTAAAAGGTAAAATAATTGGATTTCTTCATTTAATGAGCTCTTTGTTGAGTTGTAAGGTTTCACTGATTCTTTCTTAATTTGGTTTACATTTGTTTATATTATTTTGATGTGTATAACAGATTCTCTCTTTCAGACATTATCAGACAAATGATATGAGGGGAGCATGGGACACAACCAATCCACCATCCCTCACCATGCAGGGGTCCAAAAGGAACATCAGGGAGGAGGTTCTTCCCTAATTGAAACACATTCTCTCTGTAATGGAGCATCAACAACTGCAAAAACATCTCCAACTTCACAATCAAAATCAAGTCATTCCAGGAAGAATAGAGAACCAGATTGTTCTAATGCTGCTACTGCTGCAGTAGCAGATTGTTCTACTAAGCCCAGAAGACAATCAAAAAGTAAGAAGCTACATGATGAATTTATCGTACATGGCATTGATTATCTACCCGAGTCAGAGAAGAAGAAAGTGAGAAGAAAAAAAAATGTTATAAAATTTCTGCCTATCGACTCTAACTTCTGGCCTACTAATTATCTGAGCATCTGGAATCGATTTCATAACAGCAACAATGCAGCTAAACTGTCGACAAACTCTTCAAAGTTAAACTCAGACAAACAACAACAACCTCAGGACCAAGAATCTTCACAACAACTACAGCAACAACAATCTCTCCACCACCATCACCACCAACAACAACAACAGCATCACCAGGGAATGGTAAGATCGATAACGGCTGATGCGGGTTTTTCGATGGAAAAAGTTTGGAATTGGAAGACGTACCCCAACTATCCATTTGAAAATGTTGTCATGTCTGGTGGCGGTAGCAAGGGTTATGCATTCATCGGATCACTCAAGGTTTGTATCTTTTTTTTCTTTTTTTGTTGTATTGTATGTTTTGTATGCATTTATATGTTTGTATGCGTTTGTTTGTGTTTGTGTGTTTGTTTTATTCATGTTTTTTTAAATGGTTTATTAATCATTTTTATAAATTTTTCCTTTCACATTGTTGTTGTTTTTTTCAGTATTACATTGAAAAACTCATCACATTCAACTTCATTTTATTTCATTTTTTTTAAGTAAAATACCTCAAATCTTGCCAAGTGTTTATTTCTTTCTATTGAAGCATTAATATTGTGCACATTCATTCAAGTTTAATTGTCATCTTATTGGGAATGCACAATTTGATGGTTTTCAGGATATTTAACACTAATATATAACTATACTATTTTATAACAATATATGCAGTTTTTGTCACTAATTTGTTAAATGGGCAAATGTTAAACCTAATAGGTATATATAGATATCTAGATATGAAATGTATCTTAATCCATCCTTATCTATATATATCTATATTCTTTTGAATTGCGTTATCTCTAATAAGTTTCAATCATTTTTTTCTAGTTTCAAGTCAACCACATTTACAATATGAAACTTTTTCAAGGATGTCTTACACACACACGCTCACGCACACGCACACAAACAAATGCACACACGCAGGCACACATAATTTTATAGATAGAAATTTTTTCAAGTGATGTTATTTTAAAATTTACCAACATTACCACTACATATATAGTCATAGTTTGTATCTGCTTATATGTATATTTATGTATATTATGTGTGTATGCGTGTGTGTGTGTGGTGTGTGTGTGTGTGTGTGTTTGTGTGTACTCATTTTATCAAGCTGAGGTACGATGGTTCATTTTTTTTGTATCTGTATTATCAATTGGTTGCCCTGAAGTTGCTAATTTATTTCACTTTAGAAGATTTGTTCATTCATTCGTTTGTTTAATAGTTCTTTCACTCATTCATTAATTTATCTCTTTATTCATTCATTTATTCATTCACTCACTTATTCACTCATTCGTTCAGTCGTTCATTCCTATTACACATTCAAATGTTTTTCAGTTCAGGATATAAGAAACTCCTCAATTGTATGCTAATAATTCTAAACTTGATTTTCTGATTTTCAAAATTACAAAAATCTATTTGTTCTAAAAAATTTCTAAAGTAAACTTACATTATTTAATTTATCATTTGGCTTTTATTGTGTAATAATTACAAACATACTAACAGACATATTAACAAACATATATACAAACATACATACAAACAAGTAATGTGATGTCTCCCTTTGCTATTAACTTAGCAGCTTTCCATAGCCAGGCTCTGTTATTAACACAGTGCATTTATTTTTCATTAATTATTATCATTTGATCAGCTACAGAAAAAAACTCAACAATTGGGTATTTCTATAAATACTTTCTTATTCACATCACACACAAACTCACACACACACAAACACACACACACAATGATATATTACACACTATAGTGTAATGTCAAAACTATGCACTCAAGCGTAAATTTTTAGATAAACATATATACAATTTTTGCTTATATACACATTCAAACATATATGACAAACTCATATCTTACATATATTCTCACTTTCACACATTTAGATGCATATAAACACACACACACACACACACACACACACACACACACACACACACACACACATACATACACATATTTAAAACACACATAACACATACCAAGAAACTTTGGTACTCATAAATTGATTTGACATATTTGGTTATGAACCTTGTGACTTTAATAATGAATAATTGTTATCATCATCATCCTCACCATCTTCATCATCATCTTCATCATCATCTTCATCATTGTCACAATCCTCTTTAGCTCAATCATTTCATTTGTCAGTTGAATGTTAAAAGTAATTTTATAATAATTATAAGAAATTATTAAACAATGTTAGATGTCTGTTTTCATTAATGATGATGTATGTATTCGTCAATGTATGTTTATATGTATGTGTTATTGTATGTTTATATGTACGTGTTAATTTATGTCTATATGTGTGTGTTAACGTGTGTTTATATGTATGTGTTAATGTGTGTTTATATGTATGTGTTAATGTATGTCTATATGTATGTGTTAATGTGTGAGCTTGTGTTTGTTTATTTGTTCATTCATTTATTTATATATTTGTCAATGGTGATACTATGCTACTGAGTATTGTTCTCTCCCTTTTATCTTCTTACATTTTATTACCACCGGTGCAAATTTTTATTGCATATTTTTAATGCTTGTACTAATAAATATAAACTTTCAGCTTCTTTATTCCAAATTTTTACCTAGCCTTTCCTTAAATATAAATACGTACACACACACACACACACACACACACACACACACACACACACACACACACACACACACACACACACACATCTCAATGCTTTAACCACTCTGATATACTTAATAATTAAGATTCATTGCCATCTACTATGTATGAACTGCATTGTGGTGTGTCATTCATTCATTTATTTATTTGCTTGTTAGAAATTTCTTTTCAATCTTTTTTCAGATGCATCAACAGCAAACACGTAAGTGTACGTTAATATGTGTGAAACAACTCGCCGCACACATTGCATGCTCGTGATAGGCTGGGATCTCTCTGCAGTTGAATCCGGTCTCTGCAGTAAAAGTGCCAGGCACTTTACCGTTACACCATTGCTCCGTAATAGTTAAAACCGCCTAGTTTTATCTGGATTCAAATGCAAAAATGCGTGTGTGTGCGTGTGTGTGTGTGTGTGTGTGTGTGTGTGTGTGTGTGATTGATGCTGTAAAATTTAATGACCTTTAACTTTTTTTTATAACCACTCTCACATCCGTTTATTAGTATGCTAACACTTGAAGGTTATTTTTGCTATAATTTTGTGTGCATTTTCTAGAACTTGTTACGGTACTTGATTAGCCAAGTTTCAGCCAAGTTATAGCTCTTGAAGTGATAAGATATTTCAAGATGACGCTGATGATAGACGTGATAAAATTATGTGAAAAAGTTAGATGAACTTGTTAACTAACTTCGAGTAATGGTGACGAGAGTGATGATGAGATGTGGTCTGTGTTTGTTGTCATGGGGAGTACTTAATTAATTATACATTCATCATGTAGTTTATTGTTTTCCTTTCTTTGAAAATTTCACTTAGAATTCGTTCATTTTGAAAATTTCTCAAGAATTATTTTCTAAAATGGTTATTAGTTTTTATTCTTTGAAGGAGACATTCAAGAAACTTGCGTATTGCTCATTCTGATGTTTTTAAATGTAATGTTTAACGTTGTATTTAAAAGATTTGTACCTTATTTACTCTTCTTGTTTACATAACTATTTACTGTGTTTGCTCTCTCTCCCTCTCTCTCTCTCTCTCTCTCTCTCTCTCTCCTCTTTCTCTCTCCTCTCTCTCTTTCTCTCTTCTTTCTTCCTTTCTCTTTCTTCTATTTCCTCTTACACAACTATTTTCATATTCATGGTATGCTATATCTTGTTTGTTGTTGTGTCACAGCGTTGAAGGTTCTGGGATCAATTCCGCTTGTGAGCACCTATTATCTTAGACCAATTTTAATGTTTTTTTTCAATCTCTCTCTCTCTCTCTCTCTTTTTCTTTTTTCCTCTCTCCTTCTCTGTACATACGTGACTGTTTTGTCAAAACATATCATTTGTTTACTGAAAACAATTCGTATATATTAATCAGTGTTTTAAACAGACATTTTTCAGCATGCCTCTTGCATGTTTTCATTTGTTTTCTGCATTCATTTCTTACATTTTGTACGTATACACACATGTGTATGTTTGTATTTGTGATTTATAAATTAGAATAGAGCGTGTGTGAATGTGAGTAGAGAATGTGTTTATGTGTACTTTTTTGTATGTGGAACTTTTTTGTTTATGGAAACATACATCCATACTGTTTGAGTGGATGTTTGTTTTCATCGTTGCTCCGGTGCAGGTATGCTTGATTGAACGTTGTTTGTGTGTTTGTATGTGGTGTATGTGTGTGTGTGGTGTGTGTGTGTGTTCCTGTTACCAACACACACACTCATTTATTTACTAGGTTGGCTTTCATGTTCCTTGGAAACATTTTAAAAGCTATAAGAATGTGTGTATGTACGTACATATGTTTGGCTATAAAAAATCTATGTATGTACGTTTTTAAAAGGTTGAGTTTGTGGATTATCACATGTGTGGTCACCATACACATGTATTCATTCATACATTCACACTATACTTTCCAAATGTTTACATGCACTTAATGAATATTTCTCATTGCAGCATATATTATATATTTTTTAACATTTTTAGTATCTGTGTGTAGTATTATGATTCACTGCCAAATATCACACGCACACACACACCAAAGCAACGGGGCACTTAGCAACTTCATTAAATATTTACTTGGTCTGGTTAAAAAGCATCCACATATTTCACATATAGGCCCATATTATAATATAATAAATGAGGTATTTCTTTGTGGATGTTATTGATGTTTTGTGTACTGTTACTGGGCTTATACTTATACATACTGAACCACACACACACACACGCACACACACATACGCAGGCACATATATTAACCATTTTTCAGATGGTTTTCGCTGATGTGGTTTTTTTTCTATGCAATTAGTATGTTTTTTCGTTTTTTTCTTCAATTTTTTTTTTCACTTGCCTTGTCTTTTTGCTCTAGTAATTATTACTTTTTATTTTGTTATAATTGTTTTATTATTATTATTATTGATATTGATATTTTTATTTTTATTTATTTTTGTTAAGTTCATGACATTTCATTGTTATTTAAACCTTTCAGCTTTTGTTATTTTATAGAACTTCAGTATAATATTATTATTATTATTATTATAATAAATTAATTATTTATTTTCCTATGGTAGATTAATGTGTTAATAAGCTAACAAGATTGTTATAGTTCATTGATATAACTTTTCATAGATAATGCCATCTGCTGATAACAGTGAGATGATGTTATATTTCTTGTTTTAAAAAGTATCTACTATACTTCGAGCCAGTTTTAAAAAAACGGTATATGATATATGACATGATATGTTACGATATAATATGATATGTTATGATGTGATATGATATATGATATTATCTGATATAATCTGATAATAAATACGATACGATACGGTACGATACGATACGATACAATATCATATGATATGATGTAGGATATGATAGGATAGGATATCATTCAGTGTTATACAAATCTAAAAAAAAGAAAGTGTTCATACATGTTTATGTAGGTTTATATATGGGCTGATGTTTTTGCTTATGTATGCTTAGACTGGCTAGACACAGGTAGGTGTTTGTGTGCATTGGATATGCTCTGTTCTTCCAGTGCAGGTGTGTGTGCATGTAGAAAAAAGTGAGTAAGTTTATGATTGAAGGATTGAGTGATGGTTGAGTGAAGGAAAGGAGGACGGATGAATGGAGGAAAAGATGAATGAGTATGTGAATGAATGAATGAATGAATGGATGGATGGATGAGTGAACGAATGGATAAGTTTTGAAACAAATGAATTGATGGATGAATATGTATGTTGGTTAGTGAATGAATAAATGAATGAATGAATAAATGAAGGAAATAATGAATGAATAAATAGTTGAGTGAGTGAGTGAGTGAGAGAGTAAGTGAGTGAGTGAGTGAGTGAGTGAGTGAGTGAGTGAGTGAGTGAGTGAGTGAGTGAGTGAGTGAGTGAGTGAGTGAGTGAGTGAGGGAACAAGTGAGCCAACAAGTTGCCAAAATGAAGAATTATACCATTGGAGTAAAAAATAATCTGGAAAACTTGAATAAAAAAATTTTTGTAAACAGACAAAAAAAAAGTTATCCTCAATGGCTTCTCACTCAGCATGCTTGTAGCCTGTTTTCCTACTTTGGAAATTATAATAATAATAATAACATTAACAATAATAATAATAATAATAATAAATGTTTTTCCTAATTCCCATGAGTTTCCATACACAATTCTTGGAAATTATTTAGTTGAAAAATTATATACACGTTACCTATTTCTGCCTATCATTTATTCATTCATCAATTCATTCATCATTCATTCATTTATCCATTCATTCATTCATTAAATAATTCATTCATTCATTCATTTAACCAAAACACAAAAATTCCCTTAACAACAGGCCCTTGAAGATTGTGGCATCTTGAAGAAGTTGAAGAAAGTAGCTGGAAGCAGTGCTGGAGCTATATGTGCCGGTCAGTGGCTGTTGTTGTTGCTGCTGTAGTTGCCGTCGTTGCCGCCGCTATTGCTGTTGTGGCTGTTGTTGTTGTTGCTGTTGTTGTAGTTATAGTAGATGGTATAGTTGATGTTTTTGGTGATGGTGCGGTGTTTTTGTTGTTGTTAGTGGTGGTGTTATTGACTTTGTTAGTGTTGTTGTTGTTTGAGATGTCGTTTTTAATGTAGTTGTTGTTGTTGCAATATAGTTGTTGTTATTGTTGATGACGATGATATGGTGTTGGCATATTAATGATATGGAAAGTGATGAGTGCTTACGTAATGTATGGTTTGATTTGCTGTTGTTATCATCGCCACCACGGTTGTTGTTTATTTTTCTTCTTGTCCTTGACACTGATTTTTTTACCCTTGCTAATATTTCTGCTGCAGTAGTAGTAGTTAATAATGTTTGCTTATGGTGAATGATAGCTCTCTTTTATTATTATTTGTATTATTTTTTATTATTTGTTTTTTTTTAAATTATTCTTCACATTTTTCTTTATTACATTCTAGCTCCAGATAAACTCTTTTATTAATTTATTCGTTGTTTTGTGTCTAAAATCGTCTCCTATAACTATTATCTGTAATTATTAATGTTAGAAACCTATTTTGCTGATGACGACGACGACGACGATGATAAAGATGACGGTAAGGGTGATGATATAAATGTTGATGATGATAAGTATGATAATGAATGATAAAGATTGTAGTCCTGGTTATGGTTGTAGTAGTTGTGAGTGAAAGTTTGTGTTGTTTAAAGAAACATGCTCTCTATTCATTACTATGTATCTAATAATTTTTATTATCATTCTTTCATCATTCCATCCATCTATTCCTCCTTTCATTCATTTATTTATTATGTCTTCTTTCCTACGGTCTATCCATCCATTCATTCATTCTTTAGCTTATTGGTTGGCTGGTTGCCTTTGTAATGTTTGTTGTCTGCAGTTGGACTGAACTCTGTGTGTGTGTGGGGGGGGGGGGTGTATGCTGTTTATTTATGTAGTCTTCAACATTATGATACACGATCGTATAAGTATGTTTATGTGTGTGTGCGTGTGTACGTGCGTACGTATTGCTGTTGTATTTATAACTAAAATCACTGAATGACTGCAATTATTTAAATATTTTACATTACTGAAGACTCAATGCGTCCGTTGACTACTTTTTAGTCTATGGCCCAGTTATGTATCTTTGTATCCCTTACTTATATCTGTCTTTACAGGCTTAAAAGAAAACTTGAAACTTGAAAATGCAATTCAGTGCAATTCAGTTGAGATGGATGGAGTAAGAGAGAGAGAGAGAGAGAGAGAGAGAGATAGAGAGAGAGAGAGAGAGAGAGAGGGAGGGTGAGAGAGTGAGAGAGAGAGAGAGAGAGAGGGAGAGAGAGAAAGATGAATATATTTTTGTCAATAAGCAGAAAGTAGGTTGCTGAAATCATTAAATCTCAAAGTGGTTTTCACAGTAACTCTTCATACTTCACTCTTCTTATTTGTTGACCATGCCTTGTTTCAAGCTGCTAAGATGGATGAGATGACGATTGGGATGATGCAGATGATTACAAAATGACGATGATGATTATGTGAAAACAATGACGAAGAAAATGATGATTATAATAGTAACAAATATTTTACTGGATTATGTTTGCTATCAACAGCTATCCCATATAAATATTGATAAATTATTGGCATGTTAGTATGCCCAATATATTCAACGATTTTCACGCAAAATTTCATTCTTAATCTCATTTTCACCCTTTTAATCACCACGTTTTTGGGGCATTGATTGACATTTTTTGTACTTACACACTACACTATTTATTTACTCAGACTAACTTACTTATTTACCATTACTTAGTAGCTTATTGATTTGTCTACACTGTTTCTCCTTGTTTCATCGTAAAACATTATTAGGTGTGTGTATGTATGTGTGTGTGTGTGTATGTGTGTGTAGGTGTGTGAGTTTTATCACGTACACCTGTATTATTTGCACTCACTATTTATTATGAATGGTTGGTGTTGTTCAACATTAAGTTTGCCAACAACCCACACATTGTCTAGCAGTTGCTGTAAGACCTTGAAACGTTTTTGGTATTTTTTTTGTTTTTTTTTTTGTTTTTGTTTTTAGGTAAGAATCGAATGGCTTTTTTTTCCACTTTGAAAATTTTTGTGGCCGTAACGCGTTTCATATCATAGCGTAAATCTTCTTTGCATTTAAGTGCCTACATGAGATACTTTTGAGAAAAAAAATTTCACATAGTTAAACAACACACACCACACACACACATACACACACACACACACACACACACACACACGCCACACACACACCACATACACACACACAAACACACACAAACCAACGAACAAGCAAACAAACACACAAACGACGAACGCATTACTCAATACTCATGTCATATGTATTGCTACAGGATTGTTAGCAGTTGGTTGTTCACCTCAAGAAATTGCGGACGTCTTCAAATGTGATATCAAATGGTTGTTCCATGGTAAGTTCTGTTTTGTTTGCTCGTGTGTGCGTGCTTGTGTGCGTGCTTGTGTACATGTTTTTGTATGTTTGTATGTGCGTTTGTATCTATCTATCTGCATGTTTGTATATGTGTGTGTTGATAGGAGGAACAATTACATTTTTATTTTGCTTTGGTTCCATTCATTAAGTTACGTTTACAGATGTGTGATTTAGACGATGAAAACAAAATACTGCCACATAGATCTGACACACGTATTCCTAGAAAATTGATTACATAAATTTTATCCTTCTTGCACTTTAAATACGCTGCCAACATCATTAGAAGGCTCTTTAAAAGCTGGGTTATGAAAAAAAATCATCAAAAAAGATAGTACCAGGTATGCAGAACTAGGTGCACATTTAGTGGTCTAGTAGGTTATGGCGAAGGGTTCGATCTGATTTTTATTCTTATCAGTCATACTTGAAATGCCTAATAAATGAATTATATTTTGAACTTTCTTTGTAGTTCTACTTTTAATCATTAAATTATTTGTAAGAATTTTGTAATGGTGTGGTATTTTCTTGCTTATTTATTTATGTTTTGGCAACCTATATTTATCTGGCTGGCTGTCAAGCAATAAAAAGTATAATTATATTCTGACATGATATTTATGCCTGCGTGTGTTTGTTTGTGTGCGGGTGTGTTTGTGTGTGTATGTGTGTGTCCGTAATGTGATCTAAATTGTTATTTTTGGTGCAACCCTCTCAGCATTATCTTTGCTTCATTGTTGTCTTCTTCCTCTGATGTTGTCGTCATCATGTTCATCATCATTATTAATTGTAGTTATTATTTACTTACAAACGTAATTTCACCCATAGACCAAACATGTGCGTGTTGTTGCTGTCTTCCCAGAGTTTGCAACAAGTATGGTATTCACCCTGCCAAGAGGTTCTACGAAATTTATGGTGAACATTTGAAGAAAAAAGTTGGCAGTCCAGATATCACTTTTCTAGAGGTAGCTATTGTTATTATCATTGTTATTATTATTACTTTAATTGATTTTATCCTGATCATTTAACAAATTTAACAGTTAAAGACGAAACGAAACGTAGAACTCTGCATTGTTGTGACCAATTTGAGTCGAATGTGTTCTGAATACTGTACGACAACTACGACTCCAAATCTTCCAATTAGAGATGCTGTCCATATGTCTATGGCTTTTCCTGGTTTGTGGTTGTTTGTGGCTGTCTGTCGTCGTCACTTCTAGTAAAGTTGTAGAAATATACAAATATATACATACAAATGTACCGCACATACATACAAACGTTCATACATACTCATGCAGTTGTATTTCGAGCTGTAAGATACAATCTGACCGGTAGAGAATGTGTATATACAGACGGTGGACTCTTGGACCAGTATCCCATACATTGCTTCGATGGTCAGTTGTGATGATGAAAATGATGAGGATGATGATGAGGATGATGATGAGGATGATGATTGAGATGATGGTGATTTTGATATTTCTGATGATGATTATATTGATGAGTATGATGATTAAACTTTCAATGTACGTACACACAGAGCCTGAACTCTACACGAACGACAGCAGTCTACAGAGGAGACAGCAACAGATGCTTCAGCAGCAGCAACTCAGACTACAGGAGCAACAACTCTTGCTGCAGCAACAACAACTCAACAACAGTAGTAGTAAACAGAACAAAAGCAAAAAACATCATTCCTGTGATACGAACCAACAACAACACCGACCGTCACTACTTCTCGAACAACAACTCCTTGATCACGAGCAGCAACTGCAGCAACAAAATGAAACAAAACAACAACAGCAACAAAATGAAACAAAACAACAACAACAGCATCAAAATGAAACGAAACTCCACCAGAAACATCTTTCAAAAACCTCATTATTTGATGAGAACAAGGTTTTAGAGCCACCAAATTTAAGCACAATTGGTCTTTACGTGGTCAGTTTTTATTATTATTATTATTGCCTTTGTTATTATTATTATTATTATTCGAAATTGAAATTCTAAGGTGTCGGAAAAGCCAATAGATTATAAAATATGGGAAGCCTTATTCGGCATGGAGATTCCTTACAAACCCACCTACCTACCCAACACTAAACTTGCTAGGTTCGGAATTTTTCAACTCTGAGTGCTGTCATGTTACGTGGTGTGGTGTGTTTTTACGTGGTTTCACGTTATGCTACTTATGACGATATTCTGGATGTGGTTGACGGATTTATAACTGTTCAATCAATCGATCAATCAATCAATCGATCGATCAATCCATCCATCAATCAATCTATCAATCGATCGATCCCATCAATCAATCAATCAATCAATCAATCAATCAATCAATCAATCAATCAATCAGTCAATCAATCAATCAATCAATCAATCGATCAATCAATCAATCAATCAATCCATCCATCCATCAAGCAATCATGCCATCAATCAATCAATCAATAATGATGATGAAAACGAAACAAAAAAAAATCACACAAACAGAGCCAGATTAAAGAACGAGATGGCAATCAGGAAGATGCACGACAAGCAGTTCTGCAAACAAGATGTGAGTAAACCGATGAGGATGTTGACAACGATGACGATTATAGATGATGATTAATCAATCAATATGTTAATTAATTGACTAATTAATTGATTAATTAATTAATTGATTGATTGCTGATTGATATTCTCATAGTTTATGGAAGAGTTGTGCTCTTCCGTTGGCGAGGGCGCCAGACACATGTTGGACCATTACGAGATTTGGAACAAGAGCCACGTAGACATTCGGAATTTTGGTGATTACTTCGTCACTGCCATCGAGACGTTACTCATTTCGCAGAGAAAGCTTAGGATTAAGGTTGGCTAGTTGGCTGGTTGATTGGTTGGTTGGCTGGTTGGTTGGTTGGTTGGTTTGTTGGTTGGATTGGTTGGTTTGTTGGTTGGTTGGTTTGCTGGTTGATTGGCTGGTTGATTGGATGGTTGGTTGGTTGGTTGGTTGGCTGGTCGGTTGGTTGGTTGGTTGATTGGTTGGTTTGTTGGTTGGTTGGTTAGTGGTTGTTCGGTCGGACGGTTAGTTGGTTGGTTGGTCAGTTGTTTAGTTGATTAATTAATTAATTAATTAATTAATTGATAACTGGAAAAACTCAAATTGATCAATCCAAATATAATTATAAATAACTCTAGTGATAATTTTATTAAATTATAATAATAATTATCATTTTTAATTAAGTGACAATAATATTCAATGATAGAATATACAACATTGATAATTACATTTGTTGACGAGTAATTCATACAATTGGCGACAGGAGAATGATAGCCTAAGGACAGTGCCCATTAACTGTGGTTACATCGGGACGAATGACTACGTAATCGAACCTGGAGATCGAGAGTTCATGATCGATGTTTGTCTTTGTTGTTTGTTGTTGTTGTTGTTGGTGTAGTTGTTGATGTATGTTGCTCCTTTTTAATAACAGAACATCCACTCTGCAAACGATAATTTCAATGACATTAAAACAAAACCACAACACAATAAAATCTATAAAACACATCCGCTTGTACTGTTACAAAACATCATAACAACAACACATTAACATCGCTAACAACAACAACAACAACACCAACAGCAAGGATACAGCTGTACGAAGCGCTACCTCCGCGAGTTCGTCGCCTCGCAACAGCAGCAACAGCAGCAACTTCATCGGCAACAACATCTTCAATCGTCGATGACCAAAATGAAATCGTCATACACGTCGTCTCTTAGTAAGTACAGAAAACTTCCAAAATGTAAATCCATTGTTACTACTACTACTACTACTACTACTACTACTACTACTACTGCTGCTGATGTTAATTACAACTACAATTCTGAATGTGAATTGTGTGGTGCGGCTACTACTCCAGCCACAGCTACTACTCCAGCAGCCACAACTACTACAGCAAAAACGAATGGCAATTACCTTGCTGGCGGTGATTACTGTGGCGATTGTGATGTTTGTAATGTTGATGCTGTAGATGGCGGTTGTAGAAATGGTGAAAGAAATTGTGGTAGTGGTGGTGCTGATGGTAGTTCAGCAGGGAGAAAGTATTACATTCCAAACGATAGCGAAGACAACGACGACGACGATGATTATCATTACAATCTCGTTGATTACTGTGATGGTCTTAAGAGGAATTCAAACTCTATGATCAATCTGCTGGCTCATGACGTCACCAATAATAATAATAACAACAATAATAATAATAATAATAAAAATAGTAATAATGATAATAATGATAATAATAATAGTAATAACTTTCGTAATGTTGGTGACGATTGCATAGTTCATCATCATCATCAGCAACAACAGCAGCAACAACAACATCATCATTGTCATCATCAAAGATCGCATGACGAAATGGGCGATGATGGTAATGATACTGATAATGATTGTAACGACGGTGTGAGTGGCTACAGTGTTGGCAAAAATCGCAGCAACAACAACAACAATAATAATAATATTGTAAATGTCATTGATGTTAGAAATAGCAACAACAACGATAACAACATCATCAACAACAATAATAACTTCAACGACAGCAATGACGTCACAGTAAATAACAATAACAACAACAACGTTAAAAATAGCACAAACGAAAAAAATTACGTCAACCAGAATTATATGAACCACAATGTACACAACAATGTACACACAAGTTCGCCAACTCGTCATCACCAGCTTCAAAATCCCCATCATCATCATCATCACAATGTTAATGATATTAGTCGCGAAAATCACTTTAATCATTGCCACCACCACACCACTAATGATAACAAGATTAATGATGAACATAAATGTGATAATCATCATCGTCAACACCATCATCGACATCATCATCATCATCGAAGTATTAGCTACGATGCCAGATGCGTTTTAACTGATGAGTGCGGTGATGATAATCGCACGTCATCATCAAGAACTTCAGCAGCAGCAGCAACTTCATCAACTTCATCATCTACAACTTCATCATCGCAATCGTCACTATTAACTTCATCTGCAGCGTTAACAACACTAACATCGAAGCACTGCATGCATTATCGCAAACATTCTCAGCCGCCATTTTTCAATTATTACAACAACAGCAATAACAACAACAACAATAACAACAACAATAACAATAATGATAATCGTAATAATAATGAGACCACTGATAAATGTGGCAACGACATTCGCCTTGGTAATAACAGCAACAAAAACAACAACAACAACAATTTTAATTATAATCTTACTAAAAATAACAATAATAACATTATTAATTATAGTAATAAAAATAATACTAGCAATAATAATAATAATAGTAGTAGTAATAATAATAATAATAATAATAGTAGTAATAGTAATGTTGACGTCATTTCCAAATTGCCTAGTATCAAACTGACAGCGAACGGATGTCTTTATAATCGCAACAATCTCGACGAAAATGGCGTCTTTTTTGTGGGCTTGTTGAATGACACTAACAACAATAACAACAACAACAATAGTAATAATAATAATAATAACAATGGTGATAACTACAATAAGCATTTGGCCGTCCAGCTCAGGGGATTGAAAAACTTATATGCTACTTACGACGAAGATGACGATGATGGGTTTTATAAGGATGATGATGACGATGATGATGATAATAATAATAATAATAGTAATAGTAATAGTAACAATAATAACAATTACATCAACAACAATAAAAACAAACTTCGCGGCCACAACATCAAAGTTAATGTCTCAAGCCTAGTAGCCAACAACATCCACCATGTATCATCATCATCATCTTGTTTTCTATCATCATCATCATCATCAACACCATTTCCGGTACAAACAACAGTATCGTTATCACCACCGCCCATTATTACGTCACCGTCAACGCCGCTGGAAGACTATCAGGCCATGATCGATAGAACATTACTCGCTCTCTCTCAGCGAAGTAACAACAACAATAACAACATTCCAGAAAGTAAAGTTTAGTTATGACGTCATACATGATGACGGTGATGATGACGTCAGCCTCGTTACCATGGTGATACTCTCTGGTGACGAAATTAAGCAACGATGACGATATGGCTGAGAATGAATTTTTTTTTCATGATTCTCAAGCGGAGATATTGAGATATTGTAAATGATTTGTTTGTTTCCTTACCGGATAGGCAAACGATCATGATTAATCTCATTTCCACCTCCTCTCTCATCAATAATCTCGCCCTCAATGCTTCCTCTTTCTTTATTCCTCCATCTTGGCTGTTACTTTCTTTTTTCTGGTGTTTCAGTCTCCAATGACCTCCCCCCCCCTCTCTCTCTCTCTCTCGTGCTCTTTTAGTCTTTGACTCCATCATTCTTTTTCCCTTCACGTGCTTTCTTCCTTTCTGCAGTTACCGACAGACAAGAAAGAATTTTGAATACAAATATTTGTGCACGCCCATGTACACACTGTTCTTCATGTTCTTGTTTAACTTTTCTGATTTGTCCGTCTGTATGTATGTATTTATATATGTCTCTATGTCTGTCTGTCTGTCTATCTATTTATCTATCTACCTCTCTGTCTGTCTGTCTATTTATCTATCTATCTCTCTGTCTGCTTGTTTGTTTATTGGTTTGTCTGTCTGTTCCCACATATCTCCATGCTTATGCAACCATTTTTATTATTGACTATTTAACCCACCTGAATATGTAATCCTTATATATGTTCACAAGTATCTATATATATATATATATATATATATATATATATATATATATATATATATATATATATATATATATATATGTTGGTAATAGACCATAATTTTTACAATATTCTATAAATTCTACCGACACAATATAACATAATTAACTATAAATATATATATATATATATATATATATATATATATATATATATATATTGATGTGCGTGTGTGTGTGTGTGTGTGTGTGTATATAATTTAGATTCTTTTTTGTAATTTGATTGGTGGCTGAATTTGAAGGATTGATGATGTTTCACATGGTTATCAGAGACGGCTAGTTCGTTGAATTTGTGGTAGTATGGTCGTTCTAATTTATTTATTATTCTATTGTTGTTATATTATTTTCACTGGCTGTCTTTTTTGTTGTCATAATTTAATTTCTCATTTTGTTTTAATTTCCAGGTTTTTTTTTTATATTTTTTGATAGTGTTTTTTATAGTTGACGGGAGGATATCCCATGTCTTCCAGAGTAATGGCGTCACTCCTTTTTTGTGACGTCACTCTTTTTAGTTAGTAATGACGTAACTCTTGTTAGTGCTGTGCGTGCCAGCTGATTTTGCTCTTCACCAGGTTCCACCCAGGAAGGTAACGCCTCGTTACTGCGGATGAATATTTTAGTGGCGAATGAAAAGTAGTGCAGAGGTTGATAGAATAAATTTTACTTTGTCACACGCACGCACTTATACGCACATGTACACACACGCACACACTCATACGCACATGTACACACACGCACACACTCATACACACATGTACACACATACACATGCGCACACACGCGCATTTGCATAGAGTAGCAGATGTATGAATAGATGACTCACTTTTGTGTTCATTACCTCAAAAATATAGGCCAGATTCAGTAAAAGTTTCGCGACGCATTTGAACTTGGTAGCTTTGAAACAGCTTTCATAAATCTCGACAAGGAACATCAGTTTTTTTCTAAATAGACCAGTTAACACTTGCGTATGAATGATTGTACGATTGTTGCATTCGAAGTTCAATTGTTTTTTCTTTTTATTCATTAAACTTTTCGATTCTGCTGCTAATAAACACTGAATACAATGATCGATCGATCGATTGACTGATTAGTTGGTTGGCTGATTTGTTGTTTAATTGATTGATTGATTGATTGATTAATTGATTGATTGATTAATTTATAAAGATAAATAATATTCACCATTCCATCCTCACTTGCTGTCATCCAGCCGAATGCACCCAACCTTCTTCCATTCAGTTGCACGCAGTACTTTATCTTCCTCTCCTACTCAACCCGCTTCCTCAATAGATATTAATAAAGCTATCGTATTTCATCAGTGATTTATTATTATTATTATTATTATTATTATTATTATTATTATTATTATTATTACTCTTATTATAACTCTTCTTATTATTTCTGTTATTTTCAAATGTTATTTTTTCTCTTCAACAATTCAGCTAGCTCTAGTCTAGCTTTAAATTTTCATATGGAGATACATGTACTGTAAATAGAGCTTGTTAACAAATTCAAATATACCAAATGTAAACACCATATACATACATATATACATTATACATACATACATATATATATAAATATAAAGTACATATATATATGTATAAGTATATATATATATATATATATATATATATATATATATGTATGTATGGTTTGTATACAATTTTATTCTGTACATAAAAGATGTTTTTAAGTTTTATATTCATAAATCTGTGATATAATCCAATTATGTTGTTGTTACTACTGCTTCTTTGTTGCATCTCTTATACGCATATATATATATATATATATATATATATATATATATATATATATATATATATATATACATATATATATATACATACATATATATATGTATATATATATATATATATATACACACACGTAATGTTGTCGCCTTTTGTTAGCCATTTGTTTCATTTATGATCAATACT